TCAGGCTGGGTGCTCCTGACTGACTGTGCAGGCAAACCTTCCCAGCTCCAGTGCAAAACAGCGCTGTTGTCCCAGCGCAGGGAGCTGAGATCATCACAGAGATGGTCAGGATTCAGCCTATTTGAGGGTCTTGCAGTGCCAGAGCAGCCTTGGTGCCCACTGTGCCCAGGCTGCTCTTCAGGGCATTGCACCAAAACCAGGGGCTGGGATCAGGCGTCCTGAGACTTTGCTTTGCCTTCAGTCAAAACAAGGACAAGGACTGAGAGAGGCCTCTGCAAGCTCACTGAAGGCCCATTGCAAACACAATGCAAACCCATTGCAGACCCATTGCAAACACAATGCAAACCCATTGCAGACCCATTTTAAACCCATTGCAAACCCATTGCAGACCCATTGTAAACCCATTGCAAACCCATTGCAAACCAATGCAAGACCACTGCAAATCCATTGCAAACCCAGTGCAAGGGTGTGTTGCCAGTTCCCTGTATCCCACCTATTGCAGAAGACACCCAAGACCCCAGCCCACCAATCTCCACCTTTATATAAGACCAATACTACCAGGGAGGCAGAGCCTTGGCACAGCCGCCAGCAGGCTCTGCCCACTGAAAACATCCCCCAGGGCACCAAATCTGCCCTTTCTCCATGTGAGCCTTGCCCAATGGGATTCAGGCCGCACAAACAGCATGGAACAGCCTATGACCCGGCCAGGAGTTTGTTAAATCCAAAGTAATTTAGAAAAAAAAAAAAGGGGGGGGGGGGGGGAGAGAAGGGATGAATCCTTCCTGCAGTACTGCTGTGCTCCTGCTGCCAGATGTTGGAGGAACGAAGGAGAAAGAGAAAATAAAAGCCGTTCTTTCTGCCCCCCACCACTTGCAGAACTCCAACCAACCCGGCCGGGTCAGCAGAGCCCACCGACAGCCCCGCCAGGCCTCGTTAGGGCTCATTAATGAAGCGTCAGTCTCGCCACGGTTGCGAGGGCTGCTGGCCTGAGCTGTCAGCGCCCATTAGGAGTTGGGTGCTATGGGCTGGGAACGGGACGGGGCTGGGAGGATCAAAGGCAGTGAGTGTCCGGCTCCAGTGGGGCAGAATAATTTAATAGAGAGGCTTATCCAGGTTTTTTACAGTATATTTTTTTTTTCTTTGCTCTTACCAGCGCTGACTCTGCCCGTAAATCTTTATCTCAGCCCCTCTGCTGCCCTCTCCCTTCCCAGCTGCACCACGAGGCAAAAACATTGCAATTTTGGTTTCCAGTTCAACCCGGAATCATCGGCAAAACCCACATCTCTGCTTTCAGCACACCTAAAGCTTGCTGCCAGCTGGCAGAGGAGTGGCAAGGATGGGGATCATGGGCAGCAGGCAGCCACAATCCCACAGCACTGTGACCCTCTCCCAGTTCCTTGCAAGCCTCTGCCCAGCACTGGTGCCCATTATCCAGCACTGCAACCTCAAGGTGTTCACATGCACCAACGCCGAGTGCCCCGCCATGCACACAGGTGCAGGAACACCCCCAGGAGCTCACGGCTCATCCTGCTTCCACGTGCTGGAGAAAATTCACATTGCATCAGCCAGGCTTCGTCTGACACGATGCAATTCCCACCACCTCGCTGCATAGCCTGACAGAGTGCGGGGTTGGGATGTGCATCGGCTCGACTGCGAGCAAATGAGAACTGCTTGCTCCGGTGTGGGCTTGTGAATGTTCACGGCGAGGAGAAGATGGGGCAGTGATTTATACAGGTAAAAGGCTTTAATTGCAGTGAGATTAAATCATCACTCCAAGCAAGGTCAACATGGGTAAGCCTGGAGTGATTTGGGACGGCTAGTGGGGCTGGAGCAGAGGCTGGAGCTGACACCAAGTGGATGGAAGCTGAAAGTTCTGCTCAGTGACGGCAGACAGAAGGTTTGAGTTAAAAGCTGGGGGACTGCTAGAAAACTCCCCAGCTGTCAGCAGATCTCACAGCCCACTGAAGTCGTGCAAAAAAAATAATAAAGAATAAAAATAAAAAGCAAAAAACCCCCAAGTTTTGGCCATGCAGAGCCCTGAGGGCGAGCTTTCCTCTCCCACAGCCCATCCTTCAGACATTCCAGCCAAGCACTGAGTTGGAGCACCCCCAGAGGAACTCCCAGGGGGGACTTTTCTCAGCGCCCAGCCCCACAGAGCCCTTTCAGAGCCAGCATTTGCCAACCCCCCCCCCCCAGAAGCTCCAAACCCCAGCGGGATATCCGCTCCTTCCAGCCCCCTGCCGGGACCCAGCAAAGCTGGGGACGGAGGCGTCGGCGCAGGAGGAGCTGCGTCACCGGGCGATTTCCTTTGGAAAAATACCTGCATCCAAGGTGCAGAAATACAACAAAACCCAAAATGTGACAAGGCGCGCTTGCATAACCCATTCGTCCCCTTCTCTTGCCTTCTCGCCAAGGCTCTGCTGTCTCTGGACCCCTTCCAACAGCCTTCCCAGAGGGTGATGCTTTGGGAACGTGGGGGCTGACAGCGCTTTGGGATGCCACTAGCAGCTACTGCAGCGCTCAAGGGGGAAGAAGCTCAAAGGGGAAGAATTTGGAAGTGATTTGCTCCAGAAAAGAGGTCAGGGGAAACACAAACCCTAGGAGGAGCACAGTGATCCCCATGGGAGGATGTCTCCCAGGGCTCAGAGGGGAGGGGAGGGCTTTGGGAGTCAGACAGCAGGGTGACAGCCCTCTTAAAGGAGGACCAATGGCGCTCAGCGCAGTCGGGTCGTGGCGGCGCCTCTTTCCACCGCTGCAGCACCCCACATCGGGGCAGGATGCTCACAGGGAGACGACCGCCCAGAAGGGCTCTTCGTCCCCCCCTCGGAGCCAACACGCTGCCCGTGAGGCTGCCGGGCCGCGGGATGCCGTGGGCCCACCCAGGGGCTGCAGGTAGGCGGATGTGAGGCAGCTCCGGCAGCGCCCCGCTCACATCGCCAAATATCCGGCCCCATTGTTCGCGGGGATGCGCCGCGTCCGTGCTTTGTTCCCCCCGGCACCCGCGCGCCTTTGTGTCCACACAAATATTTGCGCCCTCCGAGCCCACGCGCGGGGCGGCGGGAGGGACGAGCGGCCCCCAATCGCGTCCGGAGGGAAATTTCCAAGTGGAAACCCAGCCCTCAGCGTGGCCCGGCCTGAATGGCCGCCCCGCTGGGTGCAGACAATGAGCAGTCGGGCTTTCAAGCTGTTCCCGCCCGGCTCCCCGGTGCGAGAAGGGAGATGGCATCAGGCGCAAGGCCTGGCCTGGTGCTGGGCTCAGTGCTGGGCCCGACGTCGGCCTGGTGCTGGGCTCGGTTCTAGGCCTGGTGCTGGGCCCGGTGCTTGGTCCTGTGCTAGGCCCAGTGCCAGGCCTCATGCTGCCCTTGGTGCCAGGCCGTGCTGTACTTTGAGCCGTGTCTCCACGCCACCCTGCACCCGGGGCGCTCCTCACAGCAATGGCGCCGCACAGCACAGAGGTGGGGACAGCAGCCAAGACAAGACTGAGGCCTGCTGCTACGCCCAGGCTGAGTCCCTCCAAGCACAACGTGATTGGTACCGGAGGGACACTGACCCTGTGCTGCCATGTGCCTGGCACAGCGTGGCCATTTGGCTCCCAGTGTCCGCACTGGTGGTGGCCTCGCGAGTCGTCTCCTTTTTGGGCTGAAAAGCGTGCGGTTTGGGACACATGCTGCTATGAGACTGTAGCAGGGTGCAGCACCCCCAGCATGTCCCTTGGGGGCTGCACCCCCGCTGCTCCTCGCTGCCCAGAGATAGTTGTTGGCTCCCTGCATAGCAAAAGGAGCCAAAAAAAAGAGAAGGGATAACACTCAGCCCCATCCTCATTCTGCAGGCTTCACTGAAGGGCAGCCATTGCCCTCTGGTGGCTCCAGCCGCGCAGCCCCAACGTTCCCCAAACCCCGGGCAGCTCCGTCCCCAAGCCCTGAGGGTTGGCAGTGTCCCCAGGTGTGAGCAGCACTGTTGTGCCCGAGCACCAAGGGCACACTGCGGTCACAGCCGATCCTGTGAGCCCCTCGTGCCCACCTGCAAACTCCCAGGCCCTTCCTGCAAATCCATGCATCTCGCAGCAGACCCAAGCCCCACGTGCACCCCCTTTACAAACCCACCTGCAAATCCCGGGGTCCCACTGCACATCCAGGAGCCCTTTAGGAGCACTGTGGTCTGCATGCACTGCTCATGGCTTTTGAGACTCCATGCTTCCAGGGCTACCAAAATTTTTGCAGATTTGCTGTATGCGCCTCATTTTCCACAACCTGGCCGTGCTCCCCCTGCCCTTTGTGGGTTTGCACTTTGAACCCCATCCACCCCATCTTTTCCACTCTTCCCCTTGGCACCCCGTTTTTTTGCAGGGTTGCTATTTGCACCCATTTCTTTTTCTGCTAGCTTCTTGCACCCTGCTCCTGCGAGACTACCATCTCCACTCCTTTCCACATTTGCAGCCTGCACCCCATTTCTTGCTCTCTCGTGCTCACACTTTGCACGCCTGCTTTTTGCACTTTGCAGCCTGCTTTTTGCACTTTGCAGGCTTACCTCGGGCACCTCGCCCTTCGCAGGTCAGCCACTCGCACCCCGTTCCCTGCACACGCCCTACTCGCAACCCGCTTGGCAGCAGGCTGCACCCCCCCTCCCCCCGCCCCCCACTCCCTATGGGGTCGCCGTTCCCGTTTCCGGCCCCGCCCCGTCGCGGGGCAGCGCGCGGGCAGCCCCGCCTCCCGTTGCCATGGCGCCCGGCCCTCCCCCTCCCTCCTCCCCGTTGCCATAGCGAGCGCGAGCCGCTGGCGCGGGGGGCGTGGCCGGCGGGCCGGCCCGCTTTCCGATTGGCCACGCGGCGCACGTGACGAGCGGCGGAATGCAAATGAGCGATGGCCGCGCCGCCGCCCGAGGGAGCGCTGCGCCGCCCCGGCGGGAGGGAAGCAGGCCACGCCCCTCCGCGCTGACCACGCCCCTCCCCGGTAGCCCCGCCCCGCCCCGCCCCGCCGGCCCGCGCGGCCGCAACCCCGGGAGGCGCCTCCGTCATGGCCGGCGGGAGCCGGGCCGCGGGGCCGCAGGTACCGAGCGCCGGGCCCCGCCGCTTTGTCTGGGCCGCGGGGGGGCGGGGGGGGGCGGGCCGCGCACGCGTCCGGCTGTCGGGTGTCCGCGCGTCCCGGCCGCCGTGCCTCAGTTTCCCCGTCGCCGCGGGGGGCGGGGAGGGAGGCGGACGCACCGATGTCCGCCGTGCGCCCGGCTCCCCTCCCCGTGCTCCCACCGCCCCGGGCGGGGGCTCGGCCGGACCCGCGCGGCCGCTCCACGTGCGACGGTGGGAGAACCGAGAGCCGCCCATGGCTGCGGGGGCACCGCGCGCCGCTCCGCCCCGCGTGGGGTTCGAGGCCGCGGAGCCCCGCCGTGCGTGTCACCGCCCCGCCGCCTCCCTTTCCCTCACACGGGGTCGAATGCGGACCGGCGGGGACGCTCCTCGCTGCGCTCACGGCTCCGTCGCGACCCCACGCGTGAGGACGCCCCGATGCCGCCGGGATGTCACGGCACAGCTGACGGATAAAGCCACGGCCCACGCGTCCAAACCCTGCGGCGCTGAGAGCGGAGCGCGGCGGATGTCACGGCCACGCCGCGGGCACGCGGCCACCGGCGGGCATTTCGGCAGCCACCTCCAGCGTGCTTCTGCGTCCCACCTGTGCGCGTCCCCGCTCCGCACCGGCGCAGCAGCGCCCTCCGGGGACGTGGCCCCGTGGCCTCACGCCGCTGAGCGCGGGGACGTCGCGCTGCCACGTCCTGCTGTCCCGCTGCCGCCGCCTCGCGCTGTGTTCGTCCCTGCCAGGCTGTGGCGTGGCCTCCGGGGTCACCTGGCGCGGCCACCGCGGCCACCTGCTGTGGGCACCGCGGCTGCTGTCCATGGTGAAGCGCCCGGCGCTGCTGTCCCTGGTGCTGGCCGTGGCACCCGCCCTGGTGGCACGGGGCCTTGGGTTTCTTGCTGGTTATCGGAGGTCTGTGGGCCCACGTGGTTGCAGCAAAGCCTGGGTGCCCACAGAGCCATGGGGTGCTGGGGCCGCGGCCTGGCACTGCGGGCACGGCCTTTGCTGCGAGCAGTGGCGGCGGTGGTGGCGGTGCTCCTGCTGCTCGCCACCATCCCCGGTGGCACTCAGCACGCAGCACTTCTCCCTCCATTCCTGTCCTTCTCCTTCTGTTCCTCCATCCCTCTGTCCTTCCTTCACACCTTTCAGCCCTTTCCTCCTACCCTTGCCTTAGTCCCTTTCCTCTTCCCGTCCCATCCTGTTGGCCGTCCTTCCATCCCTGCACTCCTTTCCTTCTTTGTCCTCCCTTCTGTCCATCTTTCCTTCCCCCTTATTCATTTCCTACTTTTTTCTGTCCATCCTTCTCTCCCTCCTTTTGTATTTTTGTCTGTCCATCCATCCTTTCACACCTTTCCTACTTCTTTCCATCCTTCTCTCATCTTTCTGTCCACCCTTCCCTCCCTTCATCCCTCTACTTCCCTTCATTCCTCTTTGTCTACTTTTTCATGTCTGTCCATCCTTCCCTCACTCCTTTGCTTTCCTGTTCCATTCTGTTCATCCTTCCCTTCTCTCTCGTCCCTCTCAACGTTTGCATTCACCTTTCCGTCTGTCCTCCTTCCCTCCCTTTGTCCTTCCTCCCATCCTTCTGTCCATCCTTCTCTTTCTTCCTTTGCTCTCTGTCATTCTCTCCCCTATTGTCCTTCACCCTTTCCCTAATTCCATCTGTTTGTCCTTCTGCTCATCCTATCCCTATATCTTTCACTCCTACCTCTTTGCTTCCTTCCATCCTTGCTCCTGTCTCTGTCCTCTGTCCCTTTGTCCTTACTGTCTGTCCCCTCATTCCTTCCATCTGTTCTGCCTTCCCTTCCTTCCTCTCTTTCCATCCTCTTTCATTCCTCCATCCCTTCTCTACCTCCATCCATCCGTCCTTTCTTCCACCCATCCCTCTATCCATCCCATTCATACTTGTGTCCTTGTCTGTCTGTCCATCCTTCCCTCCTGCGCTTTGTCCTTTCCCATTTCCTTCTTTCCTTCCGTCCCTCCCTTCACTCTTCTTCTCCTTCCGCCCTTCCTGGCTGCACTTCCCATTCATCATTCTGTCCATCCCGCTTCCTTCCGTCCTTCACTTCCTCCCCTCATCCCTCTCCTGTATCCCTCTGTCTGTCCATCCTTCCTTCCTTCCTTTCCCTGAGGTCTTGAAGTGTCGCTGTGGGTAGGGGTGGGCCGGGAGCACACAGGGCTGCTTCCATCTGCCACCCTCATTCCCCCCAACCCATGGGACCCCCACGCCCACCCCCACGCTCTCCCCCAGCTCTAGGCCACCCCAGCCACCCCGCGTGGCCCTGCCACCACCATGGAGAACGAGCAGCTCCCGGCACCTCCGCCCTCCAGCAGCGCCGGCGGCACCGGCACGACGCCCAGCAGCACCGGCACCACGCGCCCAGCCGCACCGCAGATCTCCGTCTACAGCGGCATTCCTGACCGCCAGACCGTCCAGGTAGGGCTGTGCTGCACACCCTAACCCTACCCTCACCCTACAAATGGGGCTGGGGTTGGGGTGCTTGGGTCTCCCCTTGGGTTTAGAGCAGGAACGCTGCATGCACTGGGAGGCTCGGGATACAGGGTGAGGCAGAGCGGCGTTCAGGGTCCTGTGGCCGGGTTGGCTTTGGGATGTTGCGTCCCACGGTCTCACTGCTGCCCCACAGGTGATCCAGCAGGCCCTGCACCGGCAGCCCAACACGGCAGCGCAGTACCTGCAGCAGATGTATGCTGCGCAGCAGCAGCACCTGATGCTGCAGACGGCCGCGCTGCAGCAGCAGCACCTCACCAGCGCCCAGCTCCAGAGCCTGGCGGCCGTGCAGCAGGTACACCGCCCCCCGGGGGTCACCCCTAGGTGCCGCAGTGCAATGCACATGCAACGCTTTGCTCCCATCCCCAGGCCAGCCTGGCAGCCAACAGGCAGAGTGGCTCCTCTGGCAGCAACGGCACGCAGCAGGCGCCTGTGCAGCAGCCCACGGTGAGTCCCCGGCTCGCGAGGAGCACCCCGCAGCCCCCACCCCAGCCCCAAAACCCACTGTCCCATTGCAGATCAACCTGGCCACCTCGCCAGCAGCAGCCCAGCTCCTGAACCGGGCACAGAGCGTCAACCCCGGAGCGTCAGGCATCGCGCAGCAAGCTGTCCTGCTGGGCAACGCCGCCTCGCCTGCCCTCACAGCCAGCCAGGCACAGATGTACCTGCGGGCACAGATGGTAAGAGGTGCCTGTCCCCGCGGTGCTATGGGGCAGCTGGAGCTGCTGGCTGGCCATCACCCTGCAGCAAGTTGGCCCAGACCCACAGGAAGCAGATGCTATAGGGTCCCCTTTGCCCCACGGCTCATAGGGCACCCATCGCTGTGCTGCAGGGTGGGCTGGATGCATGCAGAGTCCATCACTCCACCGTACAGTAACCAGAGCCTACAGAACTCATAGGCTTCCTGTCACCTGGCTGTGGGGTAGCCAGGCCCTGTAGGGTGACCCTGAGCTCACAGGGGGCCCTTTGTGCTGCTGGGGGGTGCCTGGATCTCCCAGGTTGCCCACTGCTCCACCTTGGGGTGACCAGACCCAAAGCATCACCTGGCTGTGAGGTGCCAGGCCCCCGAGGGGGCACCTGACTCCATAGGGTGAATATTGCCCTGCTTTGAGGTGCCCTGGCCTTATGGGATGCCCAAACCCACAGGGCATGTTTCACCTTACTGTGGGGTGCCCAGACCCCCCAGGGTGACTACACACTGCTCTGAGATCTCCTCGGACTTCATTGAGAGCCCACTGTCCCCTGGGAGTGCCCAGACTACATGGGCTGTTCATCCTATGGGCTGTGTGGGCTTCATGGGGTGTCCCCACCCAGCGGGTGGTACCCAGACCCCAAGAGATGCCCAGACCTATAGAGTGTCTCCTCACCCTCACTGCTGGAGGCCCACCTCAGGAAGGTACCCTCTGCAAGGGTAGGGGGGCATCTGGATCCCATGGGACACCTACATCCTACGGAGTGTTTGTCCAGACCCCACAGAAGGCCACTACTCTGATATGGAGTGCCCAGACCCCACAGGGTCACCCAAGGGACATGGGGAACGGCAACACTGAGCAGGGACATGGGCAAGTGTCCCGTGTGCCCCGCACTTCTGCCATCACGCGAGGACATGGGGGGACGCTCGGGGTGCTCCCCACAACCCTCATATACAGACACTCACCCTTCTCTCCCCCCAGCTCATCTTCACGCCCACGGGCCCCGTCAGCGCCGTCCGGCCCGAGAGCCCTGCACCTGTCCCACCGCCAGCCCCACCACCCGCCCCACCGCCCGCCACCCCCCAGGTGAGCCCCCCCTGCACTCCACATCCTCCATCCCCCCCACCCCACTGACATGCTGCCATTGTAGGTGCACAGCCTGGCGCTGCGCCCCGCCGGCCCCCACCTCCCTGCCCTCGCCATGAAACCCCCTGGCAGCGCTCCACGGGCCGGACCCCCCCGGGTCCCCCCACCCGAGAACCCTGCTGACCACCTCAAAAAGGCTGAGGGCCCCGATGCCCGCACCCACCCCATGGCCCGCACTGCCACTGCCCCTGCTGCCGCCCACCCGCTCGTCACCCCAGGTAAGGCACTGTGCTGGGGGGGGGCTTGGACCGTTGGGTGCTGCAAAGGGCAGCAGGCGTTCACTCTGAAACCTAATGATGGCCCTCCCTACTGTTTCCCGGGCACCCCATCTGTATCAGGGACCTGTATAGTGTACAGTGCCGGTGGATCAGAGGGGGAGGAGGTTCCTCCTCATGCCTCAGCTCTGGGGGTGAAGGCTGTTCCCCTCCCCAGCACCCACCAGTCCCCTGGGGTTACCCAACCTCAGGGTGCTGCTGCTACCCCCCCAGGACAGCCTCACCCCAGCCAAGAGTGAATGCTGCCGGGTCAGGAGCAACCTTGGAGGGAGGGGGCTCAGGGATGGCACTGCTGACAAAGCCCCTGGGCCTTATCCCCGCGCTCCCCCCCACAGCCTACGCCCCGCTGCAGCAGCCCCAGTTCCTGCAGCAACCACCGAAGCCGATGCAGCAGCAGTTTGTCATCCAGCAGCAGCAGCAGCAGCAGCAGCAACAGCTGGCACCCCGCGGGCAGCCCCCCCCGGGTCCAGCTGCCCCCCAGCTCCAGTCACTGCCCCCTGCCAGCCCCAGCCCAGCCCCCCCACCCAAAACGGGAGCCCCCCACGGGACGGGGGCGGAAGGCACAGCCCCCAACGGGCACCCCGGCTGCTATGGGGCACCCCGCAAGTTCCAGCACGCCTCCGCCGTCATCCTGCAGCTGCAGCCCGCCAGCAGCACGGTGAGGGCCCCCCCGGCCCCAGAGAGCAGGGGTGCTGGGGGTCGGGGTGCATGGGGGGCACCGGCGTGCACTCGGGTGGGTGCACTACGTGCTGTGTGCATGTCAGCTCTGTGCACGTGTGCAACCCTTGTGCCACATCATGTGTGTGTGCATGCACGGCTGGTGTGTTCCTGAGCTACGCGCGCGTTGCTTGTGTGCATGACCCGTGCACCGCTGCCTGCTCCGTGTCCAATTGTGCCACATGCATGTGTGCGCAATGGCCCGCGCACAGCTGTGCACAGGGCTTGTGCCCTGGGCCACATTTGCACGCGTGTGCATGGCTCACGCACAAGTACACGCGTGCAAGCGCTTGCAGGCTGCCTCCATGTGCACAGTTCTGCCTGGCCCACGGCCGCGTGTAGCAGCGTCACCCAGAGCCGCGCATCCGCGTGCGCCGCCCGCACACAGACGCCCCGTCCCTCACACCCCGCCGCCCACGTGCGGGGTGCGATCCCGCGCCGCTGACGCTGTCCCCGCCGCAGCCGCCGCTGGGTGCCGCAGAGGCCGCCCGCCGGGACGCGCCGCCCGCCGCCAGAAGCCCCCCCGCCACCGCGCCTCCCGCGCTTACCGTGCGCGGCGGCGCTCTCCCCCTGCGGCGCTTCGGGGCCGGGGGGCGGCGCGGGGGCGGCGGCGGCGGCGGCGGGAGGCGCGGTGGCGGGGGGGCTTCTGGCGGCGGGCGGCGCGTC